AATCACCCTAATGTTTATACCTTTGATTCGAGAATAGGTTGAGAACAAAATTGAAAATGGGAAACAATAATAAATTAACTATGACATCTACATATAGATATACAAGAAAGTTTTTCCTACCAACTTAATTTTAAAAGCTTTCAAACGTGTGTTAATTTATAAACAAAAGTTATAAATCATAGTCTATTTACCTATTATGTTGTTACCAGAGGCTGTGGATGGGTTTTGATAACAACCCGAAATATACCACATTTTGTGTAATTGTGTATAGTTTTAATTTAGCGATGAGTAACCGACAAACCAAGAATAATTTAACATTTTTAAACCTCTTCCTAAACAAAAATGTCACTTTTACGGAACTGTAGAAAGACATTCTAAAATTACGAAGCTTATACATTTTGGTTTTTACACTCAGGAAAGAAAATCCCTGGAAAGATGCCAAGACGTAAAGCATTATGAGTTTTGTTTCTGACAGAATCGTCTGTTCTCTCTGAACTGCTTGATCCGTTGTAAAGAAACACAAAAATTTTAATTTCCGGTGGTTAGTTAGGTAAAATATTAAATCTTATATCCTTTAACAATTGTAAAATAATAATTATTTAAACTTTTTCGTACTTAGATTTTTGGTATATTGTCTGTTGTTCTAGCGGAAAACGTGTGATTGTAAGTGATAATGTAAAGTTGGAGGAAGAATAAGTGCAAAAGTAATTACATAGAGTTTCTACTGATTATTGTCAACTGTTTATTTTGCCATGGTCATTTCTAAATAACTGGGTGAGACTTATATAGGCTACCTAAACTATATATATCAATTAAAATTATATATAACTATGTTTTATTTTAAAAATTAATTTTGTACATTTCCTATTGTTGTAAAATTAATTGAAATCGGATGCTTAAAGTAATATAGAGTTAAATATATTGCAAGGAAATTAGTGGATTTGCTTATGATTGAATCCAAGTCATGGCGGCATTTTTGCCAATGAAGAGGGGCCCTTAATTATAAAAATCCCTATTCTCATGGCTACATTCAATCGAAGAAATAAGTAGGTTATGTTTATTGAAATCATGGGTACCAAATATGTCTTTGGTACCATGGGTTTCAGTGTATTATGATTTATTACTGTGTTCCTAATTATTTGTATCCTTATATTAGCAATCTGATAAAATGTTTTGTTTTATTTTTTTACATCATTTGCTTGGTAAAGTGGATTTAGCTATTCTTCTTGGATCATAAGAGTATGTTTTGGCATTTTGTTCTATAAATAAATGAATAAATGACAATAAGCTTTTATATTTTACTGGTTGATTATGATTTATTTACCTTTTTTTGTGTATTATATTATATTGTGTTATAGTACCTATAATAATAAATTAAAACCTGTACCATTAAAATTCTAAAGGGTTTCCCCTATGCAGAGAATAATAAATTAGTTTAATTTTTCAAATCACGATTTATTGCTTTAGTGCTTGGATGCAGATTTTGAGTAGTTTTACTACAGGTAACACTTGAATAAAACCACCAAAAGGTCTTATAATTCCATTTAAAATGTTTCATAAAATTTCATCTGAGTGTTAATAGTATTACACATTATTTTTATATATTGTTTTCATAATAATGTGATCGAAACACCATTGGTCGTATTAGTAGTTGCAACAAGTTGTATTTAGCTATTGCAGCCACATGTTGCAGCCACTTGTTTAGTAATATTGTACCAATCAAAAATATATTACATTATGTATATTCTGAAGAAAACATTACCCTCAAGGTACTCAAATATACTAGAAACATTCTCATATCATCAAAGGAGGTACAGCGTCTAGGTTGTTTTTACTAGAATTATAATGAATGTGGACCATCGACGATGGAATGCATAGAAAATCGATAGCCATTGTTGTAACATTATAAATCACTTATAATAGTATCAGCTCGCCTAACGTTGCTATTCATTGAAGTAGATTTTGAACTTTTACAGTATTAAATTGTGTATCACAGAAATATGATGATGAGATTTTACAAATTACTACAACAATTAGTTTAACTCAGGTAAAACTATCGAGATAATATGTGGCCAGTATTGATGTAAAAATATATAGTGGGCTATCTGCATACTTAATTAACATGAAGTAAATGAATGTTGTGTTTTACAATAGTAAAAAAAAATAACTATACAACATTAAGTGTAGTTGTAAAAATGTTCTCAAAGTCTCGTCAAAGATTTATTGAAGCACTTTTCTTCGCCAATATTCCTCACTTCAACGTAAGCTCACTTGTAATACATTTTCCGAGAAGCTATAAGCTGACAAATTTCGTTGGGAATTGACAAGTAATTCGCATTATCGGCACCGATATACATTGGATGGATGTTCCACTTACTGTAATATTGGGCCTTGTCATGGTGATGGAGATAAGCCTTTTCTCATGTTTTGTTCAGTCATCAGCTTGAAAATATTGTCTCATCTTACAACCATAATGCTATAAAGATATAGCTTATAAATAAACTTTATAAAATATCAGGTTTTTAAACTAACTAAAAAGTAGGAAATAGTTTTTCCTACAGTCACCTGGCAAAGTGGGGTTCCTTGCACTGATTATAGTACAGAAAGTTTCAAAATGCTGCATTTACTTACTTTTGCCACGGTGTTCTGAAAGCACTTTAATGATACGGTTTTAGATCCATGATTATTCTTTACGAAATTTTTACTGTGTAAGTAATATGAGTTCATTTAGGCCTACAATGGTTTTGAATAACTTGAGACGACAGGGTCGTGCACAAAATGTTATAAAAATAGCCCAAATACGTGAGCAAGACAAAATGTTATTATATAATTTGTTTTATTACATATTTTTGACTGTCTTTTATATTATCACAGAAATTGTTCATATGTAGGCATATGTTTATCTTTTTAACGTCTCCTACAAAATAAACACCACGAACAATGATCGGTTCCCTGGTACTATTAATAAAACAAATTTTCGCCTTAGAACACATTACTATTAAAAGTAAAGTAACTAGTGTTTATCCATTAACTGTGGGTGTAGTTACTGCAGTAATAAACGTAGGCAGTCTGTTACGACTGAGTTAACGTTTTATAACTTGATATGAAAATGTGGATTATTAAAACGTATATTAACTTAACACTGTGAGATTAAGGATCGTTACTATTTTTGTAAAGTAGGAAACATAAAAAACTGCATATCAATCTCATAGTTGGCTCATTGATGATTTAATGCATTTTTATATGATCGTTTGTTTAAGTTAATCAATGACTTTCATATATCATGGATACGATTTGAAATTTTTTATGTCACACGTTTATGTAATGTTACATTATTTTTGATGGATCTGCGTTAAATGTTGATTTTTATGTATCGTTTTGTGACTAAATCAATATGTAAAATTTGAATTGTACTTTGTTTCAAACTAAATGCAGATCAGATTAGGTATGGTCATCTTAATTTTTACTCCCTAGATAAAATACAATTACTTATTAGAAACATACTAATTATTTTGTAGAATTGTGGATATTATACTGATATAATTTTGTAATTTAAACCATTTACAGTTTTGTGTATTCTTTTTCTAACGTCAAAACGTGTGGTTGTTACGGTGCCAAATACAATTATTGTTCAATTATGTAAGCAATGCATAATATATAATTATGCAATAATAAACTAAATGCAATTCTTTCCAAGCAAGGAAGTTACTTTTTGATAAAAAGGTGCAATAAACATAACGCATTTTGTAGAAAAATTTATATTAAATTTATTAGTTTAATATTATTTATATACAAAACTCTTTATTTACTAGTTGCCTCCTATAAAATAAGCTCCAACCTAACAACTAAGACTAGAATTTAATAGTTGAGTAGAGTCCTAGCACCACTTAGAATAAGAACAACCAACATTGACGTCTAGCGTAGAACATCAAACTGAAATTCAAGATTGAAAGCTTTATTTAACAACTACTGAAAGATTCAAACAGTCATTTTATCATGACTTGAGGTATGCAAATGGGTAAAGACAATAGAACGATGAATTCAGTAATAAACATTATTGCAATTTACTGGTAGCATAAGGCAAAATTTGACACTAACGGTAATTAAGACCCAAATTTATAATTTTAACGAATCTTATCAATATATACAATGCAAAGTATACTGTATCACCAAACTACTTCTATCTTCACAACCGATTTCAGTATTGTATATTATTTCAGATAACGTGTGGTTTTTAGTCTAAATAAACGAAAATATTCATCTACTATGACAAATTGTTTTCAACTTTTACATATCAACTTTGTATAAAGATGTCCTCTTTAGATGTTCTCTTGGTTTGAATCCCGATTAGCGGGTTTACTTGGTAAACAATTTAATTCATTAAAATCCGTGTTTATCATATATTATATGCCTCGAGAGGATGCTCACATAATTATGACTATAATGATTTAACTATTTAACATTTCAAATAGTAACTTGTAGTGGTTTGACTCTAATTTAATATTTAAACTTCCTAATTCGATGGATTTATGGTACAATCCCTAAATATAGTAAATATATTGCATTTAATAATCCTTTAACAAATTAAAACTGTTGGTATTGTATTTTAGTCCTTGTCATCTTGTAGAATATAAGTCTAATATCAATATAAACAGAATACGTTTACTCCACAGGTAAACTTTAAGAAGGTCTTTTAACGTAGCTTAGAAATAAACCTTTCCTAAAAACTAAAAAGTAACTTTTTTTTATATATGTAGGTACATGAAATGCTTTATATTATTACTATATTTTGATAGAAATTGATAAATAATGGAACCATGAATATAATCTTCATCTCTTTTCAACAATGTATTTATATTTTGCACTTGATATGTATAGCACTTCATAAACATTAAAAAAATCATAAAAACTATATCATTTATTGATATAATTAAAGAAATTATAAGTAGCTAATTGATTAACAAGTTATTAGGGTTTGAAATTGAAACCCATTTGAAAGCTTCTACTAAATCAATTTACAAGCCACAACAAAACCGAAACTATTGTAAACTATCAGCAACCAAGCCTTAAAAGCAGCTTAAATTGGTCATTTTTAAGTCTTGTTACTATAATTCCAGTCCCTGTTTCCAGTATATACAGTTTAATCATATTATTCTAACAGTGAAATGTAATTAATAGGAATCAGCTGGTAAATTTGTTATCAGGTCCATGATTATCACGCAAGTAAGTTCCTAAACAATAGCGTCTTGTCGCCACCTCGGTCAGATTTGGCGGGTAAAGGTGTGTCTTCGTTGCGTTTGGCGGGAAGGCTGCTCCGTTGACGGTTGGATCTTATCGGCTCTTGTTGTCCTCAAAACTACTTCATCTTAAATGGCAGTGACCTGTAATTGATAGATAGGCCTATGTTAGAAGAAGTCATAATCAAGTCACAAATCCACCCTAAAACATTTATATTGTTTAAGTTAAATGAAAATAATACTGCATTTTAAATGCATGTAATTGACTAATAAAAGATTGAATCAAGTGTAAAAGACCATACGTAGTCATAATCAAGACGTTATTTTTCCTGTAAACAAATCTGAATGTCTTATTTTCTTACATTACATACTTGATTCTTATTTTAACGATGGTAAAGTTACATTACATATAACATCAGCTACCCCGTGATATGTTGCAATAGTTATGCCGATGATAAAAATCGTCTCCCAGAATCGTTTCGGTTTTCCGTTCTTTTATTTGTTGGCTTCATTATGGTTTGAGTGCAGTTCATTTCAACCAGACGATTGTGTTAAGCAATTTACCTACGACAGTTTTTTTTTTTCAAACTATCCGTATCAGTTCAGTTTTAAGAATTGAAAAGATTCATTTAAAAGCATTGTTCGCTTACTTAACAACACGGGAACAGACCAATGAGGTTCAAGGTTAGAGAGGAAAGAAGTAAAATTGTAATGCTTCAAACTTCAACTTATCGGCTGTCCAGACCGAGTTAATTGTTGAGTGATGCAATTAGTGTTTGGTACAATGATTCGTTGCATCACTGTTGGTGGCAATGAGAGGTTATAAACGAAATCAAAACCTCTCTTAGAAGTTATGAGTAGTGATTGTTAGTAAATAAAACACTGTCGTAGGTAGAGTAGTCTACGTAACTCATATAAATAGTCGACACTCGGAGAATTGTTTAAGGCGCTCACCAAGGCTCGTACCTTAGATTTCTACTCGTGTCGTTAACACTATCTTTACGCGACCATTGCGTAAACTACTATTGTCAAATATATCCAAAACCGTAACAATTGTTAACCATACTTTCATGGATAGGATAGAATTACCTATATGTCAGATACTTACACGCTTCTATTAAGAGTACTATAGACCACTGGGCATGCAATAAAGTTGACCTTATTTGCGTAAAATTGCTATGGTATAATACATTTATTCACTTTCATTTATGGATCTTGGTTATTTTTCAAAAGAGTTTCTACTATGAAAACATGTATCTCACCTTTAAAAGGGATCCTGAGACGTACAGTTTGTCCGGCCTTTTAAATACCTAGGAGAAATCGTATCCTCGTAAGGCTCCACACCAGACTTGGCCATGTCGTCTCGTACCTACAAATTAGTAAATTATAAAAGTATTTATTTTCTATCCGACTACAAACTAGCTTTTTCCAATATCTGAAATAATAATACTAATTCAAAAATAAAATTACAGAAACTTAATGTTAAGAAACATAATGTTAAGACATGATAGTAATTTTGTAGCTATAAATGATGTCTTGAGAATATATATTTAGAGAACTTATTACTTTTAACTTTATGTTTTGGCATTTGAGATTGCCTAAAATTGTTATTACCTTCTCAACTTGTTTCATGACCCGCAAAAAGTTAAGGCCTGCGAGTTTTTTAAGGTCCTCTAGTTGCCATAGTCCTGAACCAATCAGCTCAGCGAAGAGAGCAGGATAGCTTGACACATCCTCCAGACCTTTGGGTGTGCTGGGGAGGTACAAAACAAGGTTAGTGTTAGATTTGACACATCCTTCAGACCTTTGGGTGTGCTGCGGAGATACAAAACAAGGTTAGTGTTAGATTTGACACATCCTTCAGACCTTTGGGTGTGCTGCGGAGATACAAAACAAGGTTAGTGTTAGATTTGACACATCCTTCAGACCTTTGGGTGTGCTGCGGAGATAAAAAAAAAGGTTAGTGTTAGATTTGACACATCCTCCAGACCTTTGGGTGTGCTGCGGAAATACAACACAAGGTTAGTGTTAGATTTTACACATCCTTCAGACCTTTGGGTGTGCTACGGAGATACAAAACAAGGTTAGTGTTAGATTTGACACATCCTTCAGACCTTTGGGTGTGCTGGGAAGTACAAAACAAGGTTAGTGTTAGATTTGACACATCCTCCAGACCTTTCGGTGTGCTCCGGAGGTTAAAATAAGGTGGTTAGGGTTAGACAATAAATATGTTCAAACTGCTTCGAGTTTACAGGGTGCAGCCAGTGAAAATGACTTCATGGCAAGTAGTGATTCTTCTGGCATCATCAAGACATGCTGCTTGTGCACAACCAACTGTGAGGACACTTGAATAGTTTTAAAGATATGTTTTGCTCGAATTGGCATGTCAAGTCACCGTCAGAGTCAACTTTCCCGATTATTTTTTTATTATTTAATCGTATTTTATAGTGTGACTAGGTTAACGAGCTGTGTGTAAAAAGGCTGGCTATTTGCTTGTTAATTCACTCTGTGCAATCGGGAAATAACGAGGTATAAAAACTATTTATTCAATAAACCTTGTCTCTTGTCTTTAAAACAAATTTTAAGCAATAATAATCAAACTAATAAGATGGATCTATAGCAATAAACAACTTTTAGAAACTAAAAATGTTTGGAAACCTCTTAAAATGCTACACACACTTATAATATAATACTGTATATAGACATCACAGTTGCTATCCAGTAAAAAAATTATCCACATACACTATGAAAAATGATTATATGAACTAAGATAGAATGAGATAGTTTTCCAAGTATCAATTGGAAAACCCAACCCTTGTTGTTGTTGTTTTCTCAGTACGGGGATGATATCCAATTTCCGAGGGTCGGAAACTAAAAGTCTGTTCAGTTTTTTAACGAAAACAATTCCCTTCTTTTATCCAACACGTAGGAGTACGATTTTCTAACGGATTTGGTTTACTTATAAACCTTATGGTTTGAGGAAGATGTCCATTATAACCTGTGGTTATAACATTTACGAAATAAAACAAGAATAAATTGTATAACATTGTATATTATATCATGTACTGCTAAGTATGATGCATGTTGTTCTTACATATGCGGGTGTTTACGAATTATAATATACTTTATTTGCACAAGTAAATTTAAAAGATAGCTCAGAAGAAACTACTGAGAAAAACTGATAAGTCTATCTGCTGTACATTTTTCTGATTTCACAATCCGTCTGCCAAAATTTACGAAGGAAAATATTTGCCGGTTTATAAATATATTATTGTATTTTTACCTAAATGCTTCCGTCTTTATTATTGTGTCCCATTGTATGGTTTACTACAATGCCATTGGCATTTTCTGAATTTGATGAATTTTAGTTTATTGTTATGTTGGAGTGACATCTTATTACCTTATTACCGATTCTTCATCTTTTACCCCATGGGGGATTGATGGCTTCATTAAAAACATAAAATCACTTATTTACACATACATACAATTAAAACTGAGGCTGTGGACAGGCATACTTCAGCCTAGGCCTAATAGAGGGTCTTCAAAGTACTCCTTCAGCGAGTAGTCTTTGAGATACGTCTTTGAGATACTTCAGGCTTTGTCTTTGATATACGCTGTAACCATCTTAAGGAGTTTTCTTTTTTCAAGGTGCAGGATGGAGTTTGGCAACTTATTGTATATATTTATTGCTCCATTACTGAAGGCTTTCTGAGTCCTTGACAGCCTAACTCTAGGGACATCTAGTCGGGTGCGATGCCTAGTAAGATGTTGATGTGTTGCTGTTCTGGAAGGAAACACCTCGATATTGTCTAAAACATCTTCCTTTCATACAATGGGATAGAAACAATAGTGAAACAAATGGAAATGATAAAACAATTTATAAAGGTAAACCGAGTAAAAAATTCTCGTTTTGTAATTTGGTGATCAGGAATAATGGATCACCATGACAAACGTATTGTTCATCACACCCTTGTTCATGTTTTAACTTAAGCTCGTAAACTTGAGCTCATGTCAAAAAGAAACACTGGACCTTGGTGATAGAATATGCTCTTAGTCTGGCCTCCGATATATTTTTCACTATTTGGCTTAAGTTAGTTTTTTTTCTGGTTCATTATCTGCAATACAAAGTGTCCTGATTTCTCAAGTTAGTTAAAAATAGTTGTTAGTTCACTTACAAATTGATGCCATCATAGCCTGCGCCTAGTCCTACGCTGTCCACGCCTGCAATGTTCCGAATGTGGTTGATATGAGCTGCAACAACAAAATTACTATACAGTGATCTGACAGTGTATTAGGAATATCAAACAACTCCATGACAACTTTTGACTGTTTAATTTACATACGAATTAATATACAGTATAGACTAGTCACTTGATGTACGAGTATTTAAACAAATTATTTATTTTTTTCGACTCAAAAATTTTTTTTTGTATAATCTAGGATAAGCTATGCAATTAAATCATGTTTGTTATAAGGGTGGTTTATTATTTGTTAATGATTTTTTTGCCAAAAATACCTCACTCGATTGAAGTTAGTAAAACATAAATTCGTATTTAACAAAGCAGAAGGTATGTTTAAACATAACAGTACACTGTAGAAGATGAGTTTACGTCAACCTAATAGAGGATATTAAACTTTGTCGGATAGGAAGATATAATTAAATGTCAAATGAACGTAAATTAAAATACATTCAACACAAGAGAAGTGTATCTAGACAAACTACAGCAGAAGGTATGTTTACACACAACACGACAGAAAGATAACTCAAATCAAATTAATACTCATAAAAAGTAAACTATTAACTGTGAAATGTATTCCGCACCTATGGTAGGTGTTAGGTATAAACACGATATTATGTGCATATCTTTATATGCGTTATGTGGCACATAAATGCGACATTATCTAGTAATCTGGGTTATGCATAGTTTATGTGAAATAGCAACGCAATATAACGTAAGAGCTCAGTATAGCTGTCTTGTTCATGGAAACCACTATTACTTAGTGGGTAACTAAACGTAAATTACCTCGCATTGATACAATACCAATCCCGTTTACTAGGTATGGTATAGTTTATATAAAACAAATAACAAATAGGTACATATTTTTTACTAGCTTATATGTCGAATGAAGTCCCACAAAATTGTTTAAACTGTGTACTTCTCGTAAATTACAGTAAAGGTGTACTTTCAACTTTTAGCTGTAAATATTAAAAAAGAACAGTGTTTTATATGTGTGCTAATTACTGAGTTTTTTTTTCTTTGCTCGGACTTCTGGATGATTTACTCTGCGTATGAGGAATCTGCTAATCAAAAGTAAAAAAAAATAGTCTGATTCGTCAATGAAAACGAACGAAAAAGTTCTACGTGCATTAATATTTTCTTTGGCCCCTCGTACCCTTGACAATATTACCAATATAAGAAAATATTTTAATTTTTGATAATGATACGAGGTTACATAGTCGCTGGAAAAGTTAACTTTCACCCGTAGAAAGGTACAACATAATTACCTGGCAGAATCGAGGAATTTCATTCCTCTTTTGCTTATTATAGGTTATTCAGGACTACAATAAATTGTTCGTCATACTGCAGCAAAACAGCAGTTCTTAATGCACGCGTTGCGGGTCTAAAGAAGAATCTTTACTCTCTTGAGAGTAAATTCATTTTCAGTCTCTAGGGAGTATAAAATCAGCTGTTGTAAACAGTTGTAAATTTTCATTGTGGCAATTGTACCAATCGAAACTATTTATTGATTGAATTTTTAGGTTTTAGCCTATTGTTGTAAATCTTTCGACGTATCTATGGTATAATGTACGGTAACACAATCGTAAATGGACGAAATGTTATTGAATCACTTATTCAACAGCTGCTTGGTTACATTAGCAGAATTAAAAACAAGCTGGAAGTTGTTTTGACAGGTTATCTTTACATAAAATTATTTTTTTTTTTAGCTTTGTTCGTTAGTTAATGACGCAATATGACGAAAAATATAGTTCACCACACGGGCAAAAAGTGACTTTTTAACCCTCGCTCATTTTCCGACCTCAGCATCGCCTCGATCGTAAAACTTGACCTCGAGTCAAAAAGAGTCACTTTAGGTCCTAGTGATGAAATATACAAAAAAATACCTTCCATGTGTAGACAAGATTCTTTAAAATCAGTATGTTTATGGAAATTACGCAGTAGCCCACAACGATCAACTGCATACGCAAGGAATGTGCGGGAATTATTAACACATCAACATGGCGATTTCCATATTGCTGTGGAATGTACGTCAACATTCAGCATTCAGCATTCCAACAAGCGGATACACTACCGACCTCATGCTCGCATTGCAGTATACCCAACGTGGTATGTAATGAACAAATATCAGGAGTCAACTGAATCAAAACGTTCCGCATATAACAGTTTTGGAATAGCTTTAATTTCCCAAAGTTGAATGTTGTACTCATGTTGGTGGAAAACTGATTCAATTTTGGTGTTCGCAAAGTAATTGTAATTGTTAACAGTTACTATAATGTATTTATTTTTAATATTATTTTTACCCAAAATGCGTTTGGGTCTCGGGACCACATCGCTTCGTATCGAACAATCGAACCACTAGCCTTCAAGCACTATAACCACTTGGATACCCAGACAATTAAATTAAATATTTTAAGCATCCCAAAAAATACTAAACATGGAAAACATACTAAATATATACATGTATATCCTCCAAAATCAGAGGTATATTTTCACAAGTAAATCAAAATAATATCCCACTGATATAATTCATGTCATCCTTTTATCGAATCCAATAAAAGTGCTCAGCAAAAACACAAGTAAAAAATATGTTTGAAACTTTAGTCAATTCCTTTACAAACATCAAATAATGGAGGATTAGGAAAAAGAGTTTTATTTATTTCAACAAGCTCGTAATCAATTAACCATTGTTTCTGTTTCCCCTTTATTTCAAATGCCCACCGTTACTAATTGTTTGAGCTTAGTCGGCAGATTGAGTCAAAGCTCGTGGTTATTTGCCGAGAACTGAGACAAAAGTACAGCTACGATGATTTTTTTCTATTCGCACTCCACTATCTTTACGTTTGTTATGTTAAGATGGGAACATTTCAACTACCCAGGGGTAATTAATACATGTAAAGGCCATTTTATAAGCTTAAAATTAATTAATTATTTATTTGAAGTACCTATCAAGTATGTAAATTAAAGTATTTGGATCATCAATGAAATTATGGAACCATTTTAACATACTAATTAGGAGGAATATTATAGCATAGTCATGTTCTGATGCGGAATGTACTTGTAAAAGGGTTTATTTCTTAGGCTTTTCTGCACCAGAAATACGTTTACTAACATGCACAACCTAACTTTTATAACATACTAAACCAAAAAAATTGCATACACGAAAGTTATTGCTCGAGTCAGTATACGGCATGTCCCGAAAGAAAGTACAACAATTTATGAATAGGTTTCAGGGATCAACGAAAATCAAATATAATATTTATTATTCCCAAATATGCCTCGTTAGTGAGATATTTAAAATTTTTTCTGTTTTAAATTTATATCTAAAAAACTATTTTAGATATCTTAATGAAATTCTGTATACAAGTTATCCAGTCAAAAACTATTCCAGATAAAAATATTATAAAAAATTATTGATTTTATGAAAAATGTCAATACAACCTTTACTTAGCATTTAAAATTCCCCATCTAACAATCCCAAGTATAAAACCATCAAAAATAAGATTTTTGGTTGTACAGGTTAGGAAAAATTTATGGATTTTCAGTCAAGGCCTCCCTCATTTCGGGCTAAAGTTGTGATTCCTCAAATATTTATTATTTGATATTTTTAACGTGATGTCGTTTGATGTGGAATTTTGATTGTAACATAAAAGTCTTTCTGGAGTGTTTTTTTCATAAAACCGGAAATCTTTTTACATTTAAGTTATTAAAGATAAAATGGTCACCGTCACCGTTTTGAAACAACAAATATTTTTAAATTATTCTGTTTTAAGAAAATAGTGTTTGACTAGAAAGAATTAATTGTATACCACATGTCATAAATATATCTATCGTTGTTGTAATATAATCAGTAAAAACACACACAAAATTTAAATAACGTAAAATCTTTGGAAAATAGATTATTTTTGATTTGCGTTTTATTTGACCCCCTAAACCTATTCCTGGATCTTTTGTTCTTACTTTGTTACTTCACCTGTATCAAGACGTATTAGAATGCCTTATCATTATGCCTAACTACAGTGCTTAAGCCTAAATAGTTCTACATTTGTTTATCCTACTACAGTATGTATCCAAAGAATATTATTGTGTAAGAAGTTATCTCACCTGCAGCGTCGGAGACTGTAGCAGTGTCTTTGCACGTCAGAAACTGAGAGTAGAAATTAACCATCACCAGCCCTCCGTTAAGACCCTGTAAATAATATTACATTTTGGTAAACTTGGTAAAATTAATAAATAAATTCTTTATTAGTTACTCAAGTGATTGAAATAGCTTGGTATATTTTAAAAAGATCAACGCAACAGTAATTTTCACTTGAATTTGTATATAAATAAAATTAAAAATAAATTGAAAAACAAAAATTTTTAGCAATTGTTCAAAGGGTTATAGTACCTTTTATTCTTCCGTTTACCTATGCACAAGGGGTCAAAGACAGGTGCGGAGAACTAATTCAGCAAAGCGAGCGGTGAGCTTGACGATATGAGAATAAATTACAGTAATGAATTTTAAGGTTTTTAGTAATCGAGCTTTAAAGTGAGTCATCTTTTCAAAGGATACACACTTTTATAATATTTGTATACATTATAACCCAACCCAAAGCACGAAACACTATTGAATATTCCACAATACATTCCTACATTCAACAGTAACGGCCATAAAAACATATCGACCGTAAATCGTTTTTGGAACCGTTGTTTTAATAATTTACCCTCTATTTTATCGAAATCACACTAAAAATAATAGTTTTGTTCTCTGTAGCTTGAAGCATATCCAAATATAACGTAAAAACTAATGTTTTTCCGGATGAGTAAGGGCGATTTTCGCTTCAAATACGAAGCCGCGGGCCGACTGATGTTGGGTTTGAATCGATACCGGCGGATTTCCTCGTCCTCGCTGCGGTTTTCATCATCGATGCGATTTATGGTTCTAAAATACAATAACTTTGTGAAATATCGCCAAACCATGACCAATGAACGTATTACGGAACTAGAAACATTATTTATCTCCCAACGTGGGTTGTGTCATTCAAATGATGTGTTTTAAATATTACCTTCCTTTTGTTTCTTCTACAAAAACGCCACTCAGTTGTTTTAAAACGATATGCAACATTTTTAGTAACATTTTGTAATTTTACATCAAAAGGTATAATGTATGTATATTATTAGAAATTTACACTGAGCCTAAATATAGATGTAACTAATAAATAAATAAATAATTTCAAGTAAAATTAGTTTCTAATATTTCTAAACAAAATAATCCTTCCACCTGTTTTAACATGATTATAGTAAAATCCAATTCAAAAAATTGTAACCACGCTAATCTCATTAAATACGTAATAAATAAGTAATTAAGTGTTAGTAAATATATTTAAAGTTATTAAATATACATGATATGTAATATACCTTTGTTGTTTTGCATTAGATACAGACAAAAAAGAAAACAGACAAAGTCAGCTATTCCACTTGCTTGTTCCTGCAACTCTCTGGTAAGTAAAGTTTACGACTTTGGAACAGTTCCTGCAACGTGCCTGGTAACAAACAAGTGTGTTTGTTCGAACTATTCCAAAGTCGATTACTTTACTTACCAGAACCAGAGAGGCTAGTATGTTATCAGTCCCGTTGCAGGAACTGTTCCAAATCCCACTACTTCACTTACCAGAGAGGCTAGTATGTTACCAGGCACGTTGCAGGAACTGTTCCAAAGTTCACTACTTCACTTACCAGAGAGACTAGTGTGTTATCAGTCACGTTGCGGGAACTGTTCCTAAGCCGTCAACTTTACTTACCAGAACCAGAGAGGCTAGTATGCTATCAGACACGTTGCGGGAACTGTTCCAAAGTCGTCAACTTTACTTACCAGAACCAGAGAGGCTAGTATGTTATCAGTCACGTTGCAGAAACTGTTGTTCCAAAGTTGACATTTCACTTACCAGAGAGGCTAGGATGTTATCGGTCACGTGGCAGGAACTGTTCCAAAGTCGACTACTTCACTTACCAGAGAGGCTAGTATGTTATCAGGCACGTTACAGGAACTGTTCCAAAGTCAACTATTTTACTTACCAGAGAGGCTAGTATGTTATCAGGCACGTTGCAGGAACTGTTCCAAAGTCGTCAACGACTTACCAGAGAGGCTAGTATGTTATCAGTAACGTTGCAGGAACTGTTCCAAAGTCGTTGACCTCACTTACCAGAGAGCCTAGTATGTCATCAGTCACGTTGCAGGAACTGTTCCAAAGTCAACTATTTTGCTTGCCAGAGCGGCTAGTATGTTATCAGTCACATTGCATGAACTGTTCCAAAGTCGTCAACGACTTACCAGAGAGGCTAGTATGTTATCAGTAACGTTGCAGGAACTGTTCCAAAGTCGTTAACCTCACTTACCAGAGAGCCTAGTATGTCATCAGTCACGTTGCAGGAACTGTTCCAAAGTCAACTATTTTGCTTGCCAGAGCGGCTAGTATGTTATCGGTCACGTTGCATGAACTGTTCCAAATCCCACTACTTCACTTACCAGAGAGGCTATGATGTTAACAAGAGCTAGGCGGAAAAGGTTTCATAGATAACTACCACACATACTAGATAGTATGATGTTATGAGATTCAGTACGAGGGGGAACTGTTCCAAAATCAACTGGTTTACTTACCAGAGAGGCTAGTATGTTATCAGGCACGTTGCGGGAACTATTACAGAGCGCTCTAGCGGAAGAGTGGGAGAATACGACGGGAGCTTTGCTGACCTCCAGAGCTGCTTTCATAGTGGCCAGTGAGACATGCGACAGATCCACGATCATACCCAGCCTGTTCATCTCCTTGACGATAATCTGCCGATAATGAAACAAATAAATCATGTTAATAATAAGAAAGGAGTCACAAAGATATTCAGAAAACAAATAGTGAAATTTGGGATTTTTCTTTAGAAAAATATCATCATATAGACAATTGTCTTTACAAAATTATTTCCTAAACTGACTATGATTATCAAGTCTATGAAAAATATTACACCTAACACCTCGTTAAAGTATGCCTTCATTTATCATTAATATAAACACATACTTCAAGAATTTTAAGGCAATGTGTAATCAAAGTATAAACATTTTTTAAACTACCTACTTTTACGTGTTATAATGATATTTGTACAGCCTCACTCTTAATGTTGCTCTACCAGCGTGGGGATATAGATAGCCTACACTAACTTGTACTTACTACATACTATGGACTATATTGGAATTATAGTTTTAATTTAACCTACGATGTTTTATAAGGATTTACTTACTTTTCCAAAATTCGTCAATCCCCCATGTTGAGCTTTTTTCCCAGGCAGTTCTACCAGGGAAGAGTCCGCCCTTGGTAAAAAAATGTTTTCATTTGAATATGAAATAAAATAAATAAACATTAAGGTCACTCAACTGTACTATAAAATGGAAAACTACTGTAATACATAAGTCGCCATAATTAAACTGTAATTTTAGGATAAGGTATACGAGTATGTATTGGTTTCTCATATCATTAAGGATTTAAAATTATATCATAACATTTAAGATAGTGATATTATTCAAGAGTATAATTTAAATTTTAAACAGCGTACTTATACATAAATACCATTTGTCATCAACCCTCTAGCAAATATTTATGCTAAACCAACAACGACTACCGGTATCCAAAGCACTATCCAAGCTATCTATGAAACGCAGTCATTGCGTTGTTTGCTAGGATTGTATGACACTTTTCAAATAACTCATTTATTGTGATACACCTATCCATTTATTTGAATTTCATCGATGTGAATGTGTGGTAATAGTTCTCACATGTATAAATGTCAAGTGGTAATCTAAGAACTAGAATCACATTGGTTTTTATTGGGTAGCAGATGGATTAGTTTGCATTGGCCAAATATATATATTTGTCAATGTATAAGCTAAAGGTTTGTTCACACATAAGTTTAAATTTTCTTGCAAACACGTTGTATCAATGTAAAAACGTTAAACAATTTAACGTGTCTTAAGGTTACACATGTGTCATGATTTGTATTTTTTTATACCTATTATTTCTAACATATTATGTAAATTATATAGTAAAAACACAAGTATTTATTAAAAAAAGATTATGTGAACCCATATGAATACAAATTAACAACATTTTATATTATCTAAAAATGTGTACAATCAAATAGTTCACTTAGTATAAATTAAAATTTTACAAGAAGTTTTCTTTTATTGTGGCTTAGTTGGAAAGTTAGTGTATGAGCGTGAACCATATTTATCATATTTATCGTTTGGCTAAAGACAAATTCAAAGTAAGCTTCACCCGTTTCGTGTAGGCCATTTAACGTTTAGCTACTATTTTATTTCTGTTTATTTAACATTTTCCAATACTATTTTACCTAATTATGCACTCTAATTGTAAATAAAAACATGCACAATGGTTTTATAACCGAACGATCAATCACAAATTGCTTATACACCTAAAAGTAAAGGAAAAATATAATATAAAAAATCAATATAACGTCAGTGTTTTCTAAACTTTACCAACATTACCTACACATAAAACATAATCCACATTTATAGGGTGAATTGTACTATTCAAAGTCAGGAATCAGTATTTGACAGCAGCTCACTGTGTCCGTGTCTAAATTCAACTAAGTCCATTTTCGTTGTAAATACTACTATTGAACTTTAATATAAAATCAGATCTACTGCTGTCCATAATTAAACCTAAAACCCAGCAAACATGTAACCTTACACTTATGTAATTTCCAAATAAAATGTTTCTGAATTAACACATACGTTTCTAGGTACAGTCAGTACCAAAAGTCACGTGACCTACCATTGTGTGTTGCAGGTAGAGGTAAGTGTGAGGTATCGCACCCCTAGACTGTACAGCACCCTCAATACTGGAAGACTATTGGCTAGTGAGTGGCCCCCCTCCACCCCTATCAGGCTACACATCCCTCCTTTAGCGTGGGCGTCTGAAATCTCTAGACAAACAAGAACTGCTCTTAGTAATCTTACTGAAAATAATTCCACTGCCATGTAATTCTAAGATGTACACTCATGTGTTGTGGAAAAAGAAAAAGCACTTTGAACTAAAAATCTAATAGAGGCATTTCCTATCACCCTAAAAGAAGCGTGAGGTTTTTTCCCTTATTCGGTATGTATGAAATGTAGTTCGTCAGCACCAGAGGATAGTCCTGAGGGTTGCAAACTGATTATGTGGTCCCCTGCACTGATTATGCACTGTTCTTTGTTTTTAAAAGTGAACAACAAGGAGTAAGCAAGATCGGAATTTAATATGTAATCAGTTCACCTCAAATATAAATTTTTTAATGTTGTAGTACACAGATTCATTACTTGAAAAACAAAGTACGTGAAAATGATTCTCAGTTAACAATATAAGAAGCACCATTTTGAAGGGAAACTAAAAAAGGTTCCTGAATTGAACTTGATAGCGTTTTGATTAACTTTTAAGTATAGTTGATTCTGAGACTGTCATTACTTTAGGGTCCAGTTGATTGTTAGTTTTGTCAATTAATTAATATTCTCCCTGGTACCTTTAGCAGAGGTGCAGTAGGTGAGAGGAGGACTGTACTTGTCAGTCAGCCTCTTGATAACATCAATCTGTTCCAAGGTCAACTGGACAGCGTCTTTGAACTGTGACTCACAAGGCACGTATGCAGCCCAAAACTGTCATAAAATGAAGAAAGTTAAAATTATTAACCCTTTTAGAACACCAGGCATTAAATTCTTTGCCCTAAATTAAAAATTGCCTTTTTTGAAACAACGAATTACTTATTAAAAATAACAAGTTATTTTGACACCGTGGGTTTTAATTCTTACTTAAATGTTGTGTATTTTTACGGCCTCTGTGTTTGAAATATAATCCAACGCTCCCACTAAAGATGTTAGAACGATATAGCTAACAATAGTGAGAAAACAATTTTGTATAATGTTTTCTATCCTTAATAAAACTATTAATAAATGGAATCAATATTATGTATGATAAGCTGAAAGTTTTCAACAAATATCACTTAAAACACCTCGCTTTCGTATCTAATGAAACTAATGTGGACTTTCAGGTGGATTTTCTGCCTAATCTGCTATCTAGATACAAACAGCAAATCCGAGGGAGTGTTAAGCCACTTTGAGTGTGCAGGTGGCAAGAGTGCAATTAGACTAAGCTCACCCAGCCGCATGCAAATCTAGATACAACTTCTGTAAGCACTAGAGCAGTAATCGAATTCCACGTTATTATACAACAGCTTGCTGGAAATTGGTTTTATGCAAACTTTGCTTTTCCGGATAATTCTGGACTTTCCGCCATAACCGGGAGATTAATTGCCCGTGAATATTTATGCTGAATAAGAATCTCAAGTTCTTGTTCAACCAACCAAAGTAGTTTTCCTCTGTTCCGAAAGTTGAGGAAACTTATTATTTATCGAGTTTTATCTCAGGGGAGTTTGTTTTAGGAACCCACGTTACTTCATTGTTAGTGTGAAGCTTCAAGAACATGTTTTGTTGAATATAACATGATGGTGAAAACAAAATCATCTACAGCTTTAAATATTTGGTTTCAGATTAATTTTGAATCAACCACTTAACCTTAAAAGTCTCAAATTAAATTTTCTCTGGAGCCCACACTACTCCTTTCCTTAAGAATTTACTCCACAAATGTGTAAACATTGTCTAGTGCCACAATGTATGTTTTTGTATATATAAAAATGGGTGGACCCTACCTACTATTTAGCTTGTTAAGGTATTTCCTGCATAGACAAAGAGTTTTAATGCCTTTGGTGTTCATCGAATATTCAAGGTTATGAGATAGTGAAGACAGCCGATTTTTTTACTAACCTAGTCATGCTTTTTATAACTGGTTAGACTTTACCATAAATTCTTTATTTAAATCATATGGTTCTAATTATTGAAATGTTTTTGTTTTTACTAAAAATATAGTTGAGTGAGTAAATCAATGTGAAAGCCAAGTCCACTTTTTCTGAGTAAATATCTATAATTTCTTTAATAACAGTACACTGCCACGGAGCTATCGTGTTTGAGAACGATACCAGTTCAATCCTGTGAAATGTCAGTAACTTTTTCGATATTTTGAAACTGGACCTTCGTATGTATTATTTACGAATCTATGAATCGAATGTATAAGTAAAGGTCAGAGGTTACCTGAGCCGAGACATGGCCCGCTCGTAGTCTTTTAAGGTCAGTGTGTGACCAGGCACTAAGTGACCAGGGAGGCACCTGACGCAGGTCCTCCCCGAACCGGAACTCATTCAACCTGTTGTGGACAAACTTCCGGATGTTCCATGGAAGATCGTTGTGACTGAAAATATAAAATAACATGAATTATTTCTTGACTACTTTGTCCGTAAACTTTTTATGTTCCTTGGAAGATCAATGTGATTGTATATTTATAATAAAGTAAGTTATTTAATTACTGCTTTACATCCTTCATGTATTGGTCCTTAAACTTGCTATTGGTGCAACTTGTAGTAAAGAAATTCTGAAAAAAGTGTTTGATTTAGAGTTCTATTCATTTTCCTTTATACTTATGGACACGTTCTGATTTGCATGTGTGTGTTTTTTACTGATTAACTAATATGGGGACTATTCACAATAACCTCTTAGATAACATAAGCTACAATTGCCAAAGATTAGCTTAAAACAAATAATTTAATACTAACTCTTTGATTTTTGTGTTTTTTACGTTATCATATCATAAAACTACAAAACTACAAAGAAAATTGGTTTCGAAAATAAACAGAGAATGACATGTGACTTGAACGCTGTTTTCAGACAACTGCGATCGCACAATTTCTTTATTCCTGTGCCCTTGATTATTCCTATAGTCTGTACCAACAAAACAAACGTAGGCCTATGTGTGGTTAAGCTCCTTTGCATTTAAAAACTTTTGCTAGCTAGATAAACTTACTTTTCTATTAATCAACTAAATCGTATACATTTTAAATCATTTATAAACAAGCTATGTAAAAGATAAATACAAGCTGAGATTCATCATCTATAGAAATTTAAAAACTAATTTTTATCGATTAGTGATAAAAAATGACCGTGATTATTTCTGAAATACATATAATCATCAAGTTAGCTAAGCCAACAAAGAAATACACAGGGTATTTTTTCATTGCGCTTATCTATAATATTAAAACGAAACAGGTTTTTTTTATTTCACGATTCTGAATCAACCACTTGGCGGATTTGCATGATTTTTGTGTTGAAAGAAAGATAATTTTGAGAACTAGGGAATGTCGAAGCCATAATTTTAGTTTAGGGTTTCAGTTTTTTATAAATTAGGTTTTAATTTTTAAAAAGTCTAGCAGCCGACGCTAGCAATTTAAAGTATTTTCAATGCTGGTTTAACTAACAGCTGGTTTATAACTGTCATTGAAATGTTTATGTTACGAGTTGTTTGTTTACAAAAATATTGTTCGTTGGTGTTTGCCTACATACTATTTCACTTTAAAATGTAGGTAGTACGCCTTGGTTTTCCCTTACCGTGAAGGATCTGCGTTATCAGGAAATGTGTTATTTTGAACTAAACATCTCAAACACTTGCGTTTAATCAAGTTTTGTCGTAAATGCAATCTGTGTAAGTATTTAGTTTATGCATTGCAAATTTCAACTCATATTTGGGAAATATGTTGTCAGCAGTTTATCGCTTCATTGTTAAAGACATAAGTGGTTTACGTGTTGATACTTCTTTTTCTGTAGGCCTATGTTTGAATGTGAGTATGTCGGCATACTAAAATTTTGGTTAGTAATGAAAGCGTCAATCGGTGTAGTAGGTCTCTATAAAACTGTTAAACAAACTGCAGGGTGCAGCAGAAACCAAACTCGACTCATACCATACCAACTATCCCCGTAGTACTGATGATTCAGAAACTTGGGCACTGACCAAAGAACCGAAAAGTGCAGAGAAAATATACAGACCAGTTCAAGATAACGGCCCGGAGGTCGAAGTAAAAAAGAACAGAGAGCTAAGAGAAATGTGTTAACACCCAAATATATGGATGCTTTGCAGAAGTAGCTAAAGCTTGGATGGACAGGCTGTGCATAATCTTTTAAAAAGTATAATCCAAGGAGTACCACACGATAGACGGGAAATATCATGTTATGAAATGCATCCTCAGACTGGGATCTAAATTTTGAAGAGGCAGGTGATAGAAGAGAATCCTCATATAAGTTTCAGTGGTCACGGAGGTAAGATAAGGTACAGTAAGTACATAAGTAGTACAGTATGCAATTGGAGGTGGCATGTAGCTACTCTACTCAAAGCCAGAATCGGTCGCCAATCTCACTTCAAGATTTTTCAAATCGACACAAATGGTGTTTTATGGTAATATTATCGGATTTAAAATACATATCGCCATATTTTAGATCTATATTCGAATGGAATAAATAGGTGGTCACGTTACATTTGTTTATAAGGTGATCTTCCCCATTAAAACTGTCAGAATTTGTGTCTATGCGTGTAGATGTTCTGAATTATTCCGTTTTAGATGACAACTCGATTCCCGTACGTAGGACGGGCCACCAGCTCGTTTTTATTGATTACCATAATGTTATTTCAAGTACCTAATTGCTATTATGATAAGGTAAACATGTGTATTATGAGTAAAGTATAACATTAGTTACCAACAAAAGTGCTATTTACTGATCTCAATAACCTGTACATTACATTTTACGTGCACACTGATAACCTGGGGCAAAATATTTGGCTGAGAGAAGATCAAAGGCAAGCCTAATGTACACAGGAATAGTCAGTTGGCTCCCCAATATATGGTCCAGCTGGATAAATCCCTACATTGGTTTTGATTCTAACTTTTCTCTGGTGGGTTTTCAATGACAGTAAAACGTCACGACGTCCAGTTTTGTAGATTAATTTACACTTACCCATCTATCAGTGGAGTTTCTTTGAGCAGTTTGTGCGCCATTTCCAGCCGCTCTTCGTAGCTGGCCCCTGACTGTATACTGAGAGCTAGGGGTACCCCCACTCCTGCGGCCGCTGCTAGTAGGACTGCAGCCCCCACCAACCAGCGGTGGCGAGCCCGACCCGAGCTGAACAGATCCACTAGCAGCATACAGCCTAGGAATTTGAAAGGAAATAAGGAATCCGGTAAGTACGTTTTAAATAAGTTCTGAAACAAAGTTATACTATGTTGAGTATTCATTTTCATGGCCGACACTAACGAAAGCAACCCAACGTTTTATTCACTAGCTTGTCCATCCAAAACAGATTTTTTCTAAAAAAAAAGTCTTAAGGTCATATTTTTATAATAAGTATGCTCAACAACATAATGTTACTATAAGAAATATGCTTCGTATGGGTCATAATGGTTTCATATGTATATAAAAATGACTATTTTAAATGTTATGCAGGCCTGTGATCATTTCTAGAGTTTATAGAAGGTATTACAATAATAGAAGGTGCTCTATGTGACCCCTTGGATATTGATAGAATATTTCCAGTATCCTACATAGATCGTATGCTGGTTTTATTAGCATAAGCTCTGCTAAACAATCCTTAATCTATTTTTCTACAACGTTCTACAAGATGGTATTTGTTTGGATCAAGGTAAAAATAGTATTTTTTTTTTTAATTTTATGTATAATTTGGTTAAGCTCTTGGTGGGGATAGCTTTAGTCACGAATAATTATTTTCTAGTCAGGCGTACTGATTTAAATTTATAATATACTAAATAAAACAAAAGCCACGAGTCGTAGTTAGTTTGTGCCTCTACGACTAAAGTTGGTTAATTACTTTGCTAGCAGAATAGTCAAGTTAACTTTGAGGAATGGTTAGGTAAAGGGAGCAACAAAAACATAGATAAAATACTTAATAATAGTTTTTTTTTCCTTTTTTATTAACACTGATGATGGTTGGTTCAGAATACTCACCCGTGGTGGTGGAGGTGGAGGTAGTGGAAGGAGGATGTCGCGGATAGAACGTCACCTCCTCCTTGTTAGGTTGGGTCACGTCTGGAGGAAACTGTGTGCTGTCTTCCTGGAACATCGTCACACCAGGGTCACGTAGAGTCACACCATCAAGTCACGTACATTACATTTGACGTACAACTAAGTCCCTCAAAGTTCAGTGTTACCAATCCAACACTTACCAGGTTTTCGTCTGGAGTATGTATTCTTAATGAGTTGCCCTGTACAATATTTACATTCTGGAGATAATTTTGTAATTTCCTTTCTCAAAACATTATGTAAAACCGTCACGTACATTACAATATATGTACAATAGATCATCTCCAGGTTTTCTGCTAACAATCCAACACTTGTCACAAGTTCGATGCTATGTTTGGTTATGACGTATTATCCCCACAATATCTTATTCTGTGTATCATTTCCGTCATGGAAATGTAAGTATTTTATTCATTTCTCCTTTGTTGTACATAAACACATCTGACTTGGACTCAATACTTACATAATAAGTTACCGTTTTGTATTGAATTAATTTAATGATTATTGCTGTTGTTTTTTTTCTATTTTCCTTGCCGGTTTAATTTGATCGACTTTAGGATTGTTATGAATTTAGATTCCACAATTTTTTTTAATTAGTAAAATTTAAAATAAAAAACAACTATATCATCAGGCGTATCTCAACGTTTTTGGTTTGGTTGATTCCACGATTCCCATGAATATGCAATTGAATGTTGAACATCTGTTACAGTTTAAATCAGCTGTTTATTTGGATTGTTTGGATTATTGCTACATTTTTCGACATCACCTGATCTACTACCAAGACTGTTACGATTACTGGAATCTTTGTATTCAATAAAAAATATTAAAATGAAATATCACTTCGTATGCTTAACATCTATCATAGTATTTTTTTTATATTTGTTTTTACTGATAGTGGAATAACATTTTTGTACACCTAGAATTTGGCTGGGGACATTTTACTAAACAGATAAATGGTGTCACTAAGCAAGCGCCTTATACAAGCTACTAGTCAAGTTAATTTTAAGGAATGGTTAGATAAAGGGAGGCAAGTCATAAAAGATAAGAGTCAAGGTCAAGTACTTATTGATACCTTTAACAAAACACATGAAGAATGCTTTTAGAACATATTGTTTCTGCGTCAAAAATATGAAAACCGTACTTTTCAAAGCACACAAATCATTACACACAACTACCAAATAACTACTTTACTTCTTCACTTATGTAAAACTGCTGAGGGTGATTTTTTTTCCATTTTGTAAGCAATGTTTAATAACATGAGTATGATAAGTAGGCCTATAATGTAAGATTACACGATCTACAGTGAAGGTACAACTGGCAGACAAAAGCGTTATAAATATTACGGTAAGATAAAATTTAGAAACATTTCACCAGCTTAAGCAAATACATGTAAGAAATACAATACCCAAAACTGCTTTAAAATAGAAAATGTGTAGCACGTAATCTGCTATACGAAATTGCTTAGCAGAAATAATACAAATTACAATCAAAACTTGATGTCCGTATCAAACCTCTGGAATTGGCTTGAATTTTGATTTGAGTCTTGAAACATAGCGATAAGAATCGTCCTCTGAATGATGATCACTTGTTGAGGATTGACGACCTTTTCCTCCTAAGAGATTCCAGCGAGCCTGGTATGGATACAACTACTTAATTGTTATTTACACTATTAAAATGTATCTGTATGAATAAAATACGCCACACGCGTATTAACCCTATTCATGTTACACATAGAAACTCATCTTTGTTTTTACTCTTTGCCAACTTTAAGTGATTTGTTTAACGTGTTAACTAAACAGATTCCAATATATTATGCTTGTAACAAACTGTTTTTACATTACAACAAACAAAGTGACATGGTCATATAAATAAATACAAAGAGGATATAGGTTGGTTTACCGAGCACATTTCTTTATATAAATCTATCTATATATGTTGCATGATTAAATCAGGAACTTCAAATTATTGATATACTCAAAATGTCACTAAATAGAAACGCATAAGACCATAATGGTAAAATTTATAGCTGATATAATTTGCATTAGGAGTAAATATAAACGAATAAAATTAACTTATAATTATGTTTAAGAACCAAATTGTTTATATTCCGGAGACTTAAATCTAGAGCTTTAAAAAAATTGCTGATGTTATAGCTGGCAATAAAGTTATTAAATTCATTTCAAATTAAATTTAAACGTACCAAGAAAAGTGGATGGGTAAAGTAAATTTGCCACTTTAAATATTTAAAAGTACACTTAAAGCATCACAGAACCTAGAACATACAATATAACAGTTACCATATTAGCACTGTTAGTAGAAACCCCTCTACTGAACCCACTATTTCATGATAATACATAACCACATACAGAGCAGCCTACCTCCTTGAGTTGGCGGTAGCTGCCGTTGATGATGTGGTCACAAGCACAGTGGCACTCGGCAGCCAGAGGGGCAGTCATGACTATGTCCTCCTCGGAGTCAGTGTCATCCCTGGGTGTTCGCCCTCGCTGGCAGTAGGGGGCGTTACCGTGACCGTTCATCTTCAACTCTCTGCTAGAGCTGCGACTCATGGAACGGTCACGATAGACATGGGTACGTGTGGGGGTCTGAGCACGGGAGGGTCTGGTGGGAGTATGGACCTGGGTGTACCTGTAATGGAAAACAAATTGTGTGGTAATGGAAGAAACTACTGTATAAAATTGTAAAAAGAGAGAGTATTGAAAACATTTACTCCGGAGTCAGTGAAATACTGTCATTTTTGATACTGAATATCATATTCCATCTATGTGTGGACTAGATATCACCAAACATCATTGAATTTGAAGCTCTGTAGACTGGGACCGTGGCGTCGTCCTGTAATCCAGCTACTTGGAAGTCACGAATTATGTATATTTTTAAGGCATAATCTGTGAATGCGATACTCCCTGGTGTTGATTAAAGTTCGCACTAGAGAGTCTACTACTATCTGCAGTCCTATCCTGATAATTAGACCAATCCGTAAATTGCATGGCAAAAATGAGGTTCCGATTCCACTATAAACTGTAGGTCCGTTAGTTGCCATTGGCTGTATGGGATATTAACTAACAGTCCTGTCTAGAAACATGACGGGCTTAGTCAGTAACAAGCCTACAAGATCGCAGCACTCATCCTACCCTCATCTCCATTCATACTTGGCTTAAAATACCTACCTTCGTATGGTCTAGCCATTTCAATTAAAAGTATTATTTTATTGAGACACTCAAACGTGCGTTCTGTTATACTTCTTTTCCCCTGTAGTGTTTTGTAGTGTTTCCCCTGTAATGATTTTTTGTGCTTTCAATTAACAGTCAAATGTGTTTATTAGTTATTTTCAGTGGATTTCATAGTTTTTAACTTCATTTGTTATTTCGATCTTGAATTCTTTGCAATGATTGCAAGATGCAAATGGGTAACAACCCATTTATAACACCACACATATACTTACACATGTTATTGATTATGATAAGAATGTTCAGAATTTAAATCGTTCAAAATTTCCTTGTACACAAGTTATTTGTATAAAATATTTGTACTCTGCAATCATAAAAATGATGGTACCTTGATTTACATCTGTTCCGAGACGTCAAACAACTCTAAAATATTTACATCGATGTCCATAAATATCTGTTCGTCACACTTCAGCGAAATAAACTTTTATATCCCTGTTCGGATGGTCAGGAAATTTACGTATTTATACTTTTACTCATACGTTCAAATTTCGGTATTTTTGTACTTTTAGATTAGGTTCTATCTATTACTAATAGCTAATAGTTGTGAGCGTTATATCTTCGTTTACATGTCTGAGAAGATCGCAATATATTTGCAACAACCATATCAACAAAAAAATCTGGCAGCTAAAACGAGTGGCTGGCAATAAACAAAAATTCAATTATACTGAAATCAGTGCAATTATTTTAAAACTCTGTTAACATCAACTGTTTGGTTAATGAACCCGAAGATATTATGAGAAATTCATAGTTGTACATTCAGTGAAAAACTATTCAAACTTTGTATCATTTACATTTTAGTCAAACATTCTTTGGTATTTCCAGCAAGTTTATTTTTCTAGATTTCTATAGTTTCCTCAGATTTTTAGTTCTCTCAAGTCTTTAGTTCTCTTTTTATCGGCAAGAATACGATTTGACAAATTTTACTCCGGTAGGTGTTTGCAGGTGAGGGGTTCCCTGTAGCTCTTCGGGGTGAAAGAAGATTTTGTAAACGTTCTAGAGTGCCACAAGGAAACTAGGACTATTTTCTCATCCGAAAGGGTGTATGGCTAATTCAATGACTTAACTATTGGAGATATCTGGGATGGTGGATTTTCTGATGTCTCTAAGAGAATGGGAGGAGGAAAATGAATCTCCCGTAGCTACCAAAATCTTAAATTCTCCATTCTGGTAAGTATGATATCATTACTTAAACTACACTCACCTGGTTGGAGTTTGTGAGCGAGGAGGATCCCTGTAGCTCCTAGGCTGGGAAGGTGGTTCCCTGTACAACGCAGGGTTGCTGATCGTAGGGGCGGGAGGGCAAGGAGGTATATCACTAGGGTAGAACCCCCCACCACCACGGGAGTACCACTCATCCTCACAGCAACACGGTGGGGCCTCGCAGACACCCATAGTCACACAATCCTCAGGACACTGCTTCCTTGGCCTCCGGGGCATCGACCCGTAGTACCGGGTGTCAGGGTACGGGTACACCTGAGGATAGCAAAGAGTTAATATACATCTTTAGTTTAGTGTTTGCACTATTAATTCATCTATTTCAAAATATGATGAGTATGATCGCTTCTACTTCGACCCAATTCTACTCGCAGAACGCCTAATATACCTATACTATTTTCTTTTTTATGGATGAAAAATAATAGTCTAAACTACTAGGTCACGTCCATTTCACATCACTAAACGTCAGGAATATTGTATTTGTAATTCAAAGAGGCCCCTTTAAGCTAAAAGTTGGTACCAAATTATGAATATACTAATAAAATTGAAATAACGAGTATATTCAATCAAATATGTATTTGAGTCGGTTTGGTAAAGTGTTTTGAATCAATGTAATCTTAGAATGAAGAATTAGCTATTACCTCAGCTGGGACCTGCACCCCCGCATGTATCAGCATCTTCTGGTCATCACTGAAGGTCCTGTATATCTGTCTGCCGTAGTCGGCCCCCGCGCTGTACCGTCGGGGTCGGTGAGGCCGCTTGTAGTACGCCTCTTGGGGACTTCTGAACGGTAGGCGGGAGTCAAACACCGTCTCTTGCTGCGGCGGGTAGTCATCGTACCCTCGCATTCCCACCTTTCTGAAATAGAATCTAAATCAGAGCTATTTACACAAAAAAACCTTAAAAAATCTACATGAAACAAGTTTTATACAGATACTAATTTTACAAAGATCATTGCATGAATGGAGAAACTAGTCTTTTGTTCTACTGTATCTGGTCTATGGTGGAGCGCGGGCCTTTGGTCTCCGAGTTATTGGGTTTAAATACCGTCCATCACCAATAATTAGTACCTCTAGGCCTAGCTGTAGCGTGTAAAACTATTTCGGACAGCTTCCTAGCACGTGAAGGAGGGATGTACAAAAAAACTATAACCATTGGTACAATGATAGAGGAATACAGTAGTTACTTCCTACTCGACTTTAATATATACACTCGTCAGATTCCTTTGATTTCCCTTGCTGTACAAAATCCATTTGTTCTCCAGTTAGTTGTTCACAAATAAAATTTAGAGTAGAGAAGACCAATTTGTCAATAGAGTTTTTAATAAAATAAATACTGAGTTTAATGAAGTTTCTTTAAATAATTTTCCTTATAATGATATTTTTTTTAACTTTGTTTGAAATGTTTACCTGATTCTGACCTCAAGTCATAACCCTTTCCACTTAAGTACCGTGTTGAATTAGATTTAAGCCAATTACGAAACGTAAAAATTGTTAAATAGCTATACGTCACCGTCATGATGAATTTAATTCATAATATAATTAGGCTCTATTGATATTTTTTCTATAGGCAGATTTAAATTAAAAATTATGTATTGTCATTTCAAAATAATTGTAAAGTGAACAACGCTAAATTGCCAGCTTAAACATGCGATAATTTATTCCTTTGTGCGTACGTTTGTTATTAACGGAGATGAATATATGAGCGATTTACATTTCATTCGTCGAAAGGTTGATTCACTGATTCTGCATTCACGTATGCTTAAAGCGTTTTTTAAAATGATGGGAAGAGTTTTGAAAACAAATAAATGATGGTAACCCAGGATATGTGTCCCGGGTTATGTAGGGGTGGTATGTACACAGTCAACTATTTTACACCCAATTGCAATAACGCAGATTATAGTATCTAATAGGTTAATTATTGTTGTATATCCCATCCTCGTCGCCAAATTATTAAATACAAATTAATACAAAATATATGAACACAACTCTTGATACATGTTTATTTCTTAATAATGAAAGATAAACATTGAATTATTTACAATGTGAAATTATTCCAGTCATATGATTAATATTAAAATAAAAGATATATTTTTGGGATATATAACAATTATAGTTGATTATGGACGGTTGTATGATCCACTAACGTAATGTTATTATAGTTTTATAACGACTTGTATAGTAACTATAGGTCAGAGAGTTGGACCTATTGAGTTGGTCGTTTTATTTTATACTCATGACCTAACTTCACACCCTATAATGGTAGGCTCCAGCCACAGACAATATAATACTTTAATGTTAATTTTAATGTTTTAATTGTTTATTCCATTGTCTGTGCTCCAACTCTGAACCGTTGGACACTTTACTTGAGGCTTTTCTACGTAGCAAACGTCATTTTTGATTAGTGGGTTTCAAAACCAAAGCCTCTAAGACCGTAGCATCACGCTCTACCATTATACCAGCTCACTGTTGAGCTAGTAGTCTAGATTTACCAGATCTAATACATCGATGATCTATTATTACTACCAGCAGTTTACTACTCTGTATTTAAAATTACAGTACTGTAATTCTCTAGCAGGTAGCCGAGATATATGAAACTCAATTTCATTCTTGCCAGAATCTGCTAAAAATTACCTTTCTTTCCTCTATATATTTATTTTTACTTTTGCAGAATACGCACTGTGCCTTCAATCTTTTGCAATAAAATATTGTATAGCGTACTGCATTTATACTTGTGTCTGCAACATACTTTCTTTGAAAATAGTTCTTCTGAAATATTGGAAGCTTTTTGTACTAGCATTTCTAGTTTATGTTTTAAGACATTCATAATATTCAAAATCACAACAACTCAAAACAATTATTTGAGGCGTATGAATTGAAAAATCTAAAGTCATATGAACACTTTTCCGTTATATTAAAAACAATAATACACAGATTAATTTTATTCATAAACATAATTGAAAATCACTCAATTTAATATTTGTAATAGTGTAAAATATTTTTCCTTGGATGACAGTAACATCCTAAGCTAAGATTAATAACTCTCATATTTCTCAAAATTAGTGTCTTAAATCCTATTGATTAATTAATATAAAACAAATCCAACAAATATTTTTTAGCGAAACTCGTTTTACAAATAAGCCACCTGAGACATTTTAATGCAATTTATGTCAAGTATTTACGCCAAAGTAAATAAACTTTAAGTATCAACATTTATAATTTTGCCGTGCCCTATTGCAACTAATTATTGCAAATGGTTTTACAACACTATGTTGAAAATATATGATAACCACTATGACAAACATTCCGCAGTGCACAAAATTGGGTATTATTTTTGTAATAACTGTGATTTTATCCGCACCATTTCCAACGGATAAACGCAGTTTTGGCAATGTTAACCACAAAAACGTCACTAAGGGAGGATCGCAGAGCAATATTCTCTTTATTGACAATCAATAACCATTCTAGTGACATTATAAATGACCCGTGGCGCAGCGTTAGGCAAAACCAACAGTTAGCATTGTCGAAATGCTGTAGAATCACTGTGTCGCGAGTATTCAAACGAATTACCCAGTTGTAGTGACATTCAATGATCAGATCGGTCAGGGTGATTGTTTTTGTTAACACTATTGTGTTACTGACGTTCAATTCTGAATTTCTGTTTTTTTTTTTTACAAAATGTCATTTATATTTATTGTAATATATAATTTCACATTATAATTACGTTTTCATTCATTATTTCAATATTTATTGGGTTATTATATTTTGTAGGTACATTTACTATTCACACCCTTCTGTATAATTTTAGTTTTAAACTAATTATTGAGTAAATTTTATAAGTAATCGACTCCGACAATCTTGAGTAAAATTTGATAAAACGCAGTTTATAAAATCTTTCGTATTTAAAAGAAATTTAGTTACACATTTTTATAAAATAATACATCTATAAGCCAACACAACAAGTACACAAAGTATGTCGTTAAAAGTTATTAAAACGATAAGAAGCTCTAAAACTGTATGGCTTCTAATGGGTGGTCTAGCGATGATAGTGCTACCAAAATTGTTTTGCCCAATATCACTATTTAAAGATCACTGTCTACAACAAAAACGTGAAAATTTTCCTTTACGTAATGCTAGGAGATTAAATGGACCTATTAAATATGTTGTTGCGAAATTAAAAGGATGATGACAATAAAAACATCTGTTAAGATCGCAGGTATTAATTGAGACCATATATAATAGGTTTAAGAAATAAAAACGTGTCATTAAAACATAAAAGACAATCATACATGACGATTACTTCATACCTCTGAATTAAACTTGAATTTTGGAAGAGGGGAATTGTGGAGCCATTGGCTATACGAGTGTTTATTTGGATGAAATGAATAATTATTGGTACAACCAATGTAAATATTCCGAAAAAAAATAAATAATTCTATTACAATCGCCAAAGTAGCTGAATGGTTATAGTGCTCACCTTCAAATCTGAAGGCCAATGGTTCGACAACAAGTGATATCGTCTTCAGACTTAAATGGTGTTTAATTTGCTATTACGATATCAACTAAAGATACTATCTAACAGAAAGCTGTTTAAAGCTGTATTATAAAACCCAAAGAAAAAAATACGAACCTATGTGACAGGTAAACCAAAGTTACACTTGTCTCCAAACCTATAATACTTAAACATTAATGTTGCTTATACCGTATGTTATGAATATAAGGATTTCTAAATTTATTTTTGATAAGCTTGCCATATTTCTGAAGGCATTGTAGTGATTTGTTTACTAAACTACTAAGATTATTCTGTAAAAAAAATGGTTAAAAAAATATGTTTAGGAGGTTAACTTTATTTCCCTACTTTGAAAACAATTTTATAGCAATAATAAAAGAACAATCTAGTTCTAGCTAAATTTTTAAATATTCGTGATACTTAAATACTGTGCATTAATATAACTAACAGAGACTATACCTAAACCGTAAACATATAAATGTCAATTATACACAAAAATATATACGAATAACAGTAGAGCTAATTTGAAGAGCAGCACTAATCGTATCACAATATTTTTTACTGCAACGCGACGCCATCGCAATAATTTACAACCTTCAAACTCTAGAGACAACTGGGCGTGTTATTGTTATCTAACTATTCAGCCGGAATCTAGCCTGGAATCATGCTCTAATGGTGTTAACGCTGTTGAAGCAACTCAATTGAATCTAAATGCAATTTAACTTGTCATTAGTCAGCTTAATTGTCCAATAATTTAATTGGTATTTGTAAATTAATAGATTGCATTTTCTAGTAACAGTTTAATTTTCACAGAACACGCTACAGTTTGAATATTTTTACGCATAATGTGTTTAGTAAGTAAAGTAATCTACAATTCTGCAATTCTTATAGTTTCATTTTATACCTAACTAATGCTTGTCTAATGCCAATCTTGGTGAAAAAATAAGTTCTATTAAGCCTCCATTGTTATTTAATTTGTTTGTAAGATTAAAAATATAAATTGTATACATAGTTATGATTTTCGACAGATTATTGTTTTCATTAAAGCACTATTAAAAGAATTGTTGTATATATTTGTTCTGGATTGATATTCAGAATATATTATATTACTATATTACTCATTGTCATTATTTAACTAGTTTTCATATTTTAAACTTGGTATACTTTATAATATACTACTAAAACAATTGTTGTTTTTTTCACTCTTATGCTGTATTTTATTTTATTTTGTATTTTAAGATAATTAAGATGCGTATGGTTAAGATATTTTCCCCTAAGGTCCTACCACCTAAGGACTACATGTTACGAGTTATTGTTTTTGGTATGAATAAAAATTCCCAAGGCGTTTCCTTGTTTGCTTACTTTTTAACATGCTTACGTATTGCCTCGCAAACATTAGTAAAGCTAAAATATTAACTGTAATTTTGAATTAATTTTCTGCTTCATTTTATCACGGATTAGCCACAAATACTTGACCAAACTGAATTAATAGTCCCAAAAACAATTTTGAAAAACAATAAGTATAGAATTCATTAATAAATTCTATTAAATAACAGATATTCAAAAAATCCAATAAAAATCTACTATTCCGAATTTTTAAACTTTAAACAACTGGTACAAAACACAGAAATGTTGTTGAAAAAAATAAAGAAATTTCAAAATTGTTATACAAAGCTCACATTTTCTCTGCCTGCGCAATGGCAACAAAGATCGATATTTTTTCAAGTAAAGAACAAATCCATTTTCCTAAAAACTTCGTTGTTAAATGGAACTAACATTGTCATGCCAAGTGGACAATTAGATGAAAAACAAGGTGTCATGTTGATATTTCAGTGAAATAACTGAAAGTTTGTGTCGCTTTTAAATAGAAAAGCTCATATGTCGTAACTTTTAAACACACTGTGTTGTAATTTAGCCTACAGACAGACAGAATTGTTATTACGTTCAAGTTGTTTGTTTATTTTGTGTTTCATTTCTAGCTGTAAAAACATGCATTCTTACACCGGTGGGGTTTTAATAACTGTTTTAAACCCAGGGGGTGTTCTCTCTGTTATAAAAACATTAAATATATATTTATTTTATCTAGTTTATACATTATGTATAATTTTTCTAAACTAAAGATAAACATGTGGACTTGTAATTAATTTTAGTTATTTTTACTCCGTTAAAACATAACTTTCAATTATTTTTATCGTGGTAAAAATTATAAAATGAGGCGATTATTTACCTTTGTCTCAACTAAAAATTATTGCATCGTATCTCGTAAACATTGATAGTGTTAGATAAGTGCATTCAACAACTTAAAAACAACTTATTAGAATATACCATATACTACATACAGTAACTACTTCTATGACTCTCAGTTAATATTTTCATACTTATATAGATGGAAAGAAGATTGTACGGATTTACTTTAATCTGTAAAATTTACATTTAATTACCTACCCAATACCTCTTAACGTTCGGTATGTGTAAATTACGTATTCATGTGTATGTGTATCTGAAACGTATTTTTATTCAAAATTCAGTATTTTTATATTATTCAAAAATCTTAAGCTGGTTGTATTATTTAAAACTTGTAACAACCCATTAGGTAAAATCAACTAATATGACTGTTTTGTTGAATTGTGACAGCCATTTAAATCTATATTTAAGTGTTTTGTTACAAAGTCACGTGAAACCATGCCAACTTTACTACAAAAACAATAACATGCTACTTAGCTAGAGTCTCAGATTTCTATCCATCCCTAGTGTTTGTATGTGATACACTACATAACCCAATGATTAAAATTACCTTTATTAGATATTGTGAAATATAACGTAGGCAATGAATAATAAAGACCTGATTAGGGGGTAATTAAAAAAAACCTATCGGTATAACCAAGTTATTATGTATGGAAATACTTCGCTATATTAAAAATTGACAGCCAACGATGGTTAAGTTGACCGAAGGAATTTCCCATCCATCACCATCCGTCAAAACGTCCCCGGGCGTAGGTTCTATGTTATGGTGGGGGGGACGGGAGGGTTTAAAGGGAAGTTTAAAAGTTGACATCACTTCTTGTCAACGCTAATGTTTCACCGTTCCGTCGCGTCAACCAAGTTGAAAACTGGTGTCTAAGTCTTTAAAAGCTCTCAGTATATTCTACAAACATCGCCTTGTCAAGTGCCTAGTTTATAAGTTTCGTATTAAGTCCATCACTTATAGGTATTTAGTGGAATGTGCGGGACTTGGAAAAAAACAGCTGGCAATCATGGTCAGTGATTTTACAGAAGTAAATCTTACTTTCAAAGGATTCTGTGGTTGCAATAGTGTGTAGATAAAACAATTGAATTCATTCCAAAGAACACGTAATATATTGCTGTTTTGCATTAACTTCCTTACATGCTGTATTTAAGGCTAAACAATGATTAATTATTCTATTCTCATTTTTCTAAAACATAAACAATTTTGCCTATATTACTATATGATATGAAATATGTATATAGATGTAGACCTTTTTAAATATATTATTAGGATTTTGTTTTGATAATTTGGATTATTGTATTTGAATCATTCAGCTTGGGACTTATCTTTAATTCATTTGATTTATTGCTACGCTCAGTAATCTTTTGTATAAATTGGTGCACTTTGGTAAATTATTGTTGTTGTTTTTGGGAGTACAATATATATTCAAATGTTTTTATAATTTAATGTGACAACGTATAAAATTGGGTAAACCTGGACTTATTATGGTTTGAAAGGTATAAACGGCAATCCGTAAAATAAACAATGTTAAGATGCATACACACTGATTTCTATCATCACAATAGACGAAAATGAGCCTCTTCAAACAGAAAAGACTTTCTAAAGATTTTCTAAGATTTGTGAAGTCGTTTTCACAAATAAACTACTACATAACGTGATTCCAGATACAGAAACAATATTTACAATAAAGCAATATTCCTTATCGAAACAGACTGCACATTTTTCTCCGAGCTTGTCCCTAAGTTGATATATGGTACCGCATCGCATAACAGTGCAGACATTTTAGATTCATGTCAAGAATAACACCTTATATTTATAGTTGTTTTCTCTAGCCAAAAAGTTTATATTTTTAAAATCCACTTGTTTAGCTGTGGATTAGTTTTACACATGCTAATATGTATTAATAATTAAAAAGGTGAAACTATTTTTATAACAAAAATGCAATCACAACATCATATTTTTACCTTATTAAATCGAATGGTAAATTTATCACCAAAGCCTAAGTATTTTCCTGAAATAAGGTTAATTTATTTTCCATAAAGAATGTCCTAAAAGTGTACAATTGTATTCAAAATCACAAGGTAATTATGTAGGTTATTTTAAGCTTGTTTTAACCAACGCAATATTTTTTTAAGAATTTTTTCGTGATATCAAAAAATTAAGAGCTAACGTAAACTTTACCTCGAACAAAAATAAAAGCACGTGATATAACAAACAACAACAATAAACAGTAAATGGCTGGCTGAGCTAGAACAATATTAACAGTTAAGGGCGCCAAATTAAACAGCCACTGCGGAAGTACCTGTAATTAATTATGGTGCTGCGATCCAGACGTATTGCTTAGTGCAGGCAACCGTTGAATGTGAGGTAACTTTACTTTACCCAATGAAAGAATATTTCTGCTTAATGAAATTTTGTTTTGAGTAGACATCGATAGCAAAAAATGTCACTAGTATTAAATTACCGGGCATGGTAGCTTAGTGGTAAATTTTTGGGTTAATAAGTCAAACATTGCTAATTCTAAAATTGCCTTATTCACTAATTTATCACAGCTACTGGTGGTAAATACCGTCACTGCTTTAGGTCAGTCTTTAGATTTTTAGAATAGTCTTCAAACAAAGGTTAATAAACATTAATTCATAGTGACGAATGGCTTACGTATAAAACTGTATGCATCGTATTATCCGAAAATGCAGAAAAGAAAATGCTCAATACCTTTATATCATAGTGTACGATTTTACATAAATTGTGAAAAAATTATTACTAGTTTTATTCGCGCGACAGAGCAAAAGATTTTGTGTAAAAACTTTTGATATTTTGAGAAATGAGTAGTTAGAAATCATGTTAAGTTCTATATATCATTATATAAAAAAGGTTCTTATTGAGAAGTTTACAAATCAAACAGTAAGTAAATAAAGAAATCAAATATGTAAGGAAAAACATGAAAAATATGAAACCGAGAAATGTAAAATAAGAGTATAGTATTATTTTATCAGATATTAAATAAAATATTAACTACGGTTCTTGTCATCACTATAATCAAAATATATTAACATTAAAACTACTTCACTTAATTAAGTTTTTGATCAAATATTTTATTGACGAGATCATTTTATTTTTATTTTCTAAAGCTTTTACAATAAACTCACATATTTTTAACCCTTTCAAATAACATTGTATCTAGAAGACATTTAAAAGACATATAGGAGGTATATGAGTTTCATAAAAATATAATTCTTTATACCTACATTAAATTAAATGTAATTCCACGTCGTGCACTGATCCCATGTAGATGTACACACGCGGCGCACAAAACTGCCACTGACAAATACTCTAGTGTCCACCCCTAGCGGCGCACCCCTAAACTACTAACTACCACCCACCATCCGCACACCCTCATTGAACCCTAACCCTGTTTAACTTTCATTTTATGAAATCATCCCAGTTTTTACCACAATGTCCACAATTTTACGTTTATTTGTATTTTAATCAACGCTTTCCAATTATGAACTCCATTTCATTGTTAGTAGCTGATAACTTTTCAACGATCTTTCGTGGAAATGGATGAATTTGTATTTATCTTTCAGGTGTTTTACACATTTTTTTGCGTTGTATTAAGTATGAAATGAAAAGATAACTGTGTTTTTTAAGTGTTATTTTGTTGTTTTTTTAACATGTGGATTTGTTTAAAGCTTCATTTTTAAAATGCACATATCATCCTATATATTCACTAGCTGTTATCCACGGGCCTCGCCCAGGTTGACTTCATAGGTATTAATAAAACTAATGATTCGTTAAGTTAAGCTGAAATAAATAAAACTGATTACAGTAATAAAAACAAATATACATACCTGATTTTAATAAGAAAAAAAATTGAAAGAATAACAAACAAATACGTACAGTTGAGTTGATTTAACATTAAAGTTCCCTTTAGAAAGGAACTACGACTTTAAAGGGCAATTTATGAAATAATGGATAGTTTTGAGAAAGGTTTCTCCTCATGACGAACTTTTTAAGTATATGGTTTATGGGGGTGTGACTTGTAGTTTTCTCAAAAGTTCATGGGTACTTTAGGACTTATATATGGATAGGCAAGCATGTTTCTTGAAAACCTTTTCCTCAGGTCTAGTGCATCACAGGGAAAATCTACGCATACTGTTAGAAAGATATTTTCTTGTAGATGTGCAGAATCCTTTTATAAATTAGAATATGGTCTAAAAGAAGCACAACAATTGAATTTAAAACTTCAACAAATTAACATGGGCCTTATGGGCTGCCATGCTGGTCACTAAATAATGACGAAATATAAACAGAAATTGCAACAAAATGAAGAAATTCCAATCACATGGTTAATTTACTGTACAGCGTGGGGTGAAAATAGGGAATTCTGTACCTTTTTGGTCCAGATTTCGACCACTGGACGACCTCTAGTTATAATTAATACACTGTCTTAACTAACAATGAATCAAATAATCATCCAGTAAAATCATCTAAATACTCACATTTTCATCTCGTATTTGATATTTTAGCTTCACATAAAAATTTCCACATATAACTCACTATGAAAAATATTTAAAACAAGTGCTTTAAAAAAATTACTGTATTTTTCGTCACACGAAATTACCTGCTACAAAGTTAAATATAGTGTCAGGCTGTCCTGAAAGGTTTTCAATAACCATTCGCCCTGTTCTCCAAAGTTCAGTGCTCAAGTTGTTCAGTTAACTTTATGGCAGTAGAGCCAATCTGTGACAACTAACAGTGACTAGGTTATGTTACAGTTTGTCCCATTGTAACACGAACAGCTGGTGAGATCATCTATCTGATCAAAGTATTTTACAATTGTACTAGCTGACCCGGCGAACTTCGTATCGCCTAAGTTATAGGTTTCCCCTAAGACAGACCGATGGAAAGAAAGTACCGTTACGTTTAATTTTCAAGATGATCTCGTTCGCTACGCTATTTATAACCTAAACGCCACATGTACTATGTACAATGGACCATGTGACCAGACCAGTCCCATATTGATTGCCCTCGTGTCAACATGGTGCAGTTTGTGTGTTTAGGACAGATTTAATTTACCCTCTGGTGTGTGTTATGCTCATTTTGATCTCTGCTAGATACAACTAAAAAATAGTTATTAGAGAAATATCATTGGGGTATGGTATTTCATTATTATTTCATTTTACATTATATAAGTTCAACACAACGTTTTGAGCTTGAACCTAGAAAGTATGTAAGTAAATGTAATGTAATGTAACTATCTGGTACTGTAGGTAGCAATATAATGTGAACATCGCTTGTTGAAGTTTCGTGCCATGACCATAAAGTTAACGGCAAACAGCTTAGGTTACTAACTTGAACCATAGATTAAAAGAAGTAGTGTCTATACTCCTTTTATCTATGCTTGAACACAATACTGTAAAAAGGGTAAAATAAAAACTCCACAGTAGAGCTTGAGCTAACTAATATAATATATGATTTGTTATTCAAACAGTGGTAAATATGCTAATACAATCTTTGCTAGTAAAAAGATTTATGACTGTTCATGTTACGCCAAAATAAAAAAGAGTAAATATGTAAATATGAGTTAAATATGTAAGTTAAACATATTTTCGTACACCTGACAAATATATAAGGTGTCCTTTGCGTAAGTACTATTAATATAGGAATAGGTTAAATGGGTCAAAATAAAATGAAAGTCTAGAGTATTATTTTTTTTTTAATCTTGAGTTTTGTTTTATTTTTACCCATCAAACCTATTCATAAATTAGGAAGTGTAAACAAATGATCAAATGCAGTAAAATACTAAATATAAATTAAAGAAGATCAATAATTAGTGTACTAGTTTAGGACAATCTAAACAGAAGCTAAATAAGTTTTGGCTAAGTCTTCAAAGCAAATGAGAAGATCAACCCTAAATTTACATTGTAAATTTTCCATTGTGGATTTGTAAGATTTTAACTCACCCTCAGCACCAAAGCCATTCCCTCTATCACAAGACCAGCTCGCTCCCACATCATTTTCAATTTAACAGTTATAGCAGGTACTAGCTGATGTAGCTGTTCCACATAGAGTATTTTGTGAAGGTTATACTAATATTGCATTTGGTCATACCTTATTTCGGTACTGTTGTTGTAAAAAGCAAGAAAAATCCAAGCAATGGGTATTCAATTTTGTATTATGAAATTTTATTTTGTTTATAATAATGGTTAGTTTTGCAATCTAAGTAAGGTACGGCAACAATAATTTTTTAAGTAAAGTTTTCCCTTAATTTTACTTTTAGCAGTGGTGGTAATTTTAACATTCTAGAAAGTTTTGTGGAAAGAGTTGACGACTGTAGCCCTTGTTAACGAGATTATAAAAGTTAGGAGTTTCCGAATCATTCCTGGAAAGTATCTGCACTAACCGTAAATCAGTTACAACTTTAGTTTGGCCTCTTTTGTTGTTGTTTTTGTTATTGTGGTTTTTGCTGCGCCCGAGCCAAAGACGTTTTAGTTTGCAACGCCTTTGTTAATGCACCTTTTAATGATTTTGGTTAAGGTATTATACATTTAAATGGACAAAATCTGCTTCCGATTCAAAACCTTTTACTTAAATAAAAGCAACTACTTCCTAATAATGGTATCTAACCAGTGAAGACATGTTTGTAGATGAAAACTCATAGTTTTTTAGCGTTCATTTTTGACCCTGGGATCGAAAATAATTATATCCGTTGTTGGTTTAAGAAAAATACTATAAGAGTGGTAAGGAAAAGATATATGAAAATGGAAGATTAAGTTAAATAATTATTAGCTATAAGATGAGCTATTATTCTTATTGGGGGGGGTTTTATTGACTTAGAATCTCGAAACAACTTACATCCCACAGTTAGTTCATGCCTTTAATTATCGTTTATATCTGTTTGTTTTGTAACTAATAATGTGATGCTATCTTTTTAATCCATCTTTTTTATTTTATATCTAGCGGTTTATTTAACCTCGAGATTGCTGGATTAAATTGTGACTATTTAACTTTAATAGTAGTTATTCTTCTTTATTCAAAACTTATAAACTATCGACTAGTTTTGTAGAACGTAAATAGAGGTTTTTTCAAAAGAAATCTTTGAAAGTCATTTGCTGAGTACAATAATTTTCTTGGTTATTGTTAAACAACAGTGTGTGTTAATTCTCACATAAGTATACTCTAGAAGTTTACAATGTTAGTATGGAGACAGCAAATTAATAAAAGCTGGAAATATTAATTTCATATTTCTAAGAATTTATTTAAGGCATAACTATCATGACAAAAATCGAAAAAATCTTTATCAACGTGTAGATACGTGTACTAAACAAATAAGATTTAAATCAATTAATTACCAGTCCGAAAATACGGTGTACTAATATGGCTTGATTTTCAACTGACCAATGATAAAATGTTTTGTTTCTGAAATCTTTGTTTTAGTTTGAATCCAATACACTTAGGTCCGTCGATGTTTACAGTGAGATTGTTGTCAAAAGGACGTTGCTGTGCAACACACCAAAAGGTTTTAATCTCACGGTTGGATCAAGTATTTTAATTAAATTAATAAGCAAATGGACAAAGATTAGTACTTGATATGCAAATAGCTGTGTCACTGATTAAACATTAGGTGAATAGATCAAGTTACGCATTCAATGATTGTAGAAGTTCGTTTTAGTATTTCTGTAAATACCATGATGGGTTATAGTTATTTAAAAGATAATGTCACTGAAAACTAAAAAAAAATATTTTCCTACAGAAGGAATATTATACTGTATTCCCATAGTTTGGTTTTAACAAGTCAATGTATTAACACTTCATTGGTTTGTAAATATTCACAATTTTAGGATAAATCATTATGTGTTGTCATAAATTGGTTAAAATGTTAATTACTGCTTAGAGTAGCTCAAAGGAAGTGTCAATTCCTTGTTCACCAAGGACAAAATACATATAATATATTTATAGCAATATCCCAAAATCACGTCAAGTAAACTTATTTGTCATTATAATCATATAGCAGCCAATATATTATTTTCGGCCACGACAATTCAATACGCTAACCAAATAAAACTAAAAAAAAGTATATGCAATGTATATGTATAGTAAATGTATATGTAAGGCATGTTCATTCCCCTAAAATAAAGAAAAAAACAATAAGCAGCAAACTATGACAATGGCAACTCTAAAATTCCCTTTCCTAATTTAAAAGTTATATATTGCATAGTTTTTTGGAAACGTACAATTTTATCTCTGTTATCGTGTATTAATAAGACACAGAATCAAATTTACACTCAAACAAATAAATTATTAAATCTGTTTCAATATGTGCATGATGTTTAACAACAATTTTCGAATAATTAA